GCTGCGCTTAGAAACGGGGAGACCCGCAGGGGAGGCCCCTGCTCCAGGACAGCTTGTTGTGTACTGCCTCTGGGGCAGAGAGACACCCGGAACCCGAGAACACACGTCATTTTCTTGCACGCCCCGAATACAGTGCTGCTGCTGCTGCGTTGAGAGCCTGAGCAGACTTCTGTGGCGGCAGACAGGGCGGTGGGCAGAGCGGGAGCGAGTTCTACTGGTTTGCAGGGTGCAAGGCTTCCCAGGTGGTGCTAGTGGCTAAGAACCTGCCTGTCAGTGCAGGAGACATAAGAGACGGGGGTTCGATCCCTCGGTCAGGAAGATCCCCTGGAGGAGGAAATGGCAACCACCCAGTGTTCTTGCTTTGAGAATCCCATGGACAGAGGAACCTGGCGGGCTGCAGTCCATAGGGTCGCAAAGAATGGTTCATAACAGAAGCAACTTAGGATGGACAGAGGGCCATCAGAATGATGGCCTGGATTCGCTGGCAGAGCTCTGCCTGAAATCCAGGAAGCTCTTCTTGTTATAAAACTCTACTTTCTGGGTAACTCCTGGGGTTGAAAATTAGCAAAAGTGGAATTTGTGTTTCTAGATGTGGTGAGTGTGTCTGGATGTTCAGATTAGAGGGGACGATCGTTCTCCTTTTAGCGAAAGACTCAAGGCTGGGCTCTGGTGGTGTGGCTGGGAGCGAGACTGTCCAGGGTCAGAGACAGAGGCCTCAGTCTTGTCTTCCCGCCCTGGACGTGCCTGGTGAGCGATGCCTGCGCAGCCTCCGTGGGGGCTCGACTTCTCAACAGCAGCCTGGCTATGGGGCTGTGGGTGGGAAGGAGAGGACCCTCGCCACCGGGAAGGAAGGTGATGGGCCCCTCTGCCCACCCAGGTGAGGGCGGTCTGTGTTCAGGTGCATTTCGCTACGTTGGAGCTGCAACTAGTCCAGCTGCGTCTCTGTGACTCCCACCTTACACGACCACTGCATATCTGCGACGTCTGCGTACCTGCGACGTCTGCGTATCAGCGACGTCTGCGTATCTGTGTATCAGATACACAGTGACTGCGTATCGGATACATAGTGACTGCATATCTGTGCTTCCACCTTACATGATGACTGAGTATCTGTGACGTCTGCATATCAGCGACGTCTGCGTATCAGCGACGTGTGCGTATCAGCGACGTCTGCGTATCAGCGACGTGTGCGTATCAGCGACGTCTGCGTATCAGCGACGGGTGCGTATCAGCGACGTCTGCGTATCAGCGACGTCTGCGTATCTGCGACGTCTGCGTATCAGCGACGTCTGCGTATCAGCGATGTCTGCGTATCAGTGACGTCTGCGTATCTGTGCATCGGATACACAGTGACTGCGTATCTGTGCTCGCACCTTACACGACGTCACCTTACAGCGAGGAACAGGACTCCTAGTGTGGGAAACTGGGTTCCCGGGGGAGGGAGAAGGTCCCCTGATGGTGGGGCTGCCCCAGACTAAACCCGGGGCAGTGCCTCTTTATTCTTTGGGATGAGTAAACCGGGGGGAGAGGCCGCCCTGGGGGCTGGCTTCCCTGGTGGCTCAGATGGTAAAGAATCCGCCTGCAATACAAGAGATCCAGGTTCGATCCCTGAGTTGGGAAGATCCCCTGGCAAAGGGAATCGCAACTCACTCCAGTATCCTTGCCTGGGAAATCCCATGGATGGTGGAGCCTGGCGGACTGCAATGCATGGGGTCGAGAAAAGTCAGACACGACTGAGTGATTAACACACCACCCGGCCGAGCTCCCGGTACTGTCGTGGGCAGGTTGGAGGCGTCGGGCCCTGCAGAGTGGACTCTGTCGTGCGGGTGGTGAGGGGCGGGAGCAGGACCCCCTTGTCCGTGTGTCCAACTCCCTGGCGCCCTGTGGTCCTCTTCCCCTCTGCGTTCTCTCCCCTTCCCGTTTCTTTTCTCCCTCGCGTTTTCCCCACGCGTGCCTTCTCCCCTGTCCAGGCCGAATGTAAGCAGCACCTTAACTGCACCGCGGCCCTGGGCCCAGGGGTAACTGGTCCTCCTTGATCCCACAGAACCAGATGAGGCTGCTGCTCACTGGCCTTGAGTCCAGCCCGACCCTCTGTGCTGGAGCCTGGGTTTCTGCAGCGCCGGGGGGTTCTTGCTCTATCAGGTGGGCCGAAAGTGCCGCCCCTTCCTTCCAAGTCTGGGCTCAAGGCCGAATGAAACCGTTCACGACCAGCACACGCCCGCGAGGGGGGCGGGGCAGGCTGTGGATGCTGGCCAAGGCTACCCTGGTGCCCTTGCCTCCCAGAACCTCTCGCTGACCTTCTCAGTCCTGAATCCCTGGTCTCGTAAAGCAGGTTGTGTCCTAAGAATGGGGTTTGGGTCACGGTCACACGGAGTTGGGTGCCTTTGCTGAATCTAAACAAAGACCCATTGAGCTCCTAATCTGTGCTCCGCCCGTCCGACCACAGTGCCCTCTGCTCCCTGCTCCCGGCTCCCGGAAGCCCAGCCCCGCAGGCAGCAGCGGCCCCAGCTTCTCCCGGTGCCTCGGAAGACGGTTACAAGGCCTCCTCCCCCGCCCCACTGCCAGCTCGAGCCTGGCGCTGTCTGTCTGGCCCTTGTCTCACACCTGCCTGGCACCGCCGGCTCCTTGCTGACAGAGGGCTGGGCTGGGGGGCGCTCAGTCGGGGAAGGGGAGACCTAGAGGACGCGTACCCATTCTGGGGATTCAAAGGTGGTGAACTGGCCTGCCAAGTGTGAGCTTCACGGTCTACTTAAAATGTATCCAGGGACTTCCCTGGGGATCCAGTGGTTAAGACTGCATGTGTCCACTGCAGCGGGCACGGGTTCAGTCGTTGGTCAGGGAACTAAGATCCTATATGCTGTGCGCTGGGAAATGTATCCATTCTGTCCGGCTTTACTTCAATTCCTTTGCACAGTTCAGTTCAGTTCAGTCGCTCAGTCATGTCCAACTCTTTGCAACCCCATGAACTGCAGCACGCCAGTGCTGTCCATCACCAACTCCCGGAGTTTACCCAAACTCATGTCCATCGAGTCGGTGATGCCATCCAACCATCTCATCCTCTGTCGTCCCCTTCTCCTCCTGCCCTCAATCTTTCCCAGCATCAGGGTCTTTCCAATGAGTCAGCTCTTCGCATCAGGTGGCCAGAGTACTGGAGTTTCAGCTTCAGCATCAGTCCTTCCAGGGAACATGGGGCATCTAAGACAGGGCTTCCCTGATGGCTCAGACTGTAAAGAAATCTGCCTTCAACGCAGGAGATCCTGGTTCGATCCCTGGGTCAAGAAGATCTCCTGAGATTGGCAAGCCACTCCAGTATCCATGGGGTTGCAAAGAGTTGGGTATGACTGAGCGACTAATGCCTTCATCTAAAGCAGAAAAGTCTGGACAAAACAGCAACTAAAAGAAAAAAACAAACAAAAAACAGAAATATCCCCCTGGAGGTTGGGATGACTGCAACAGCCATGGCTGGACTTGCTGGTCATTTGTCCAATTTCCCTTCCTGCCCTGGACGGCTGTGGTCTGTCTCCTGCAAAGCACATCTCCCAGGCTCCCTTGCCACGTGCCATCCAGCTGGGTTCAGCCTGGAGGAGCCAAGGAAGATCAGTCAGAGGGCTGGAAGGAGGGAAAGATCAGGATGTCCCGTCTGCCTGGCTCTGAGCTGGTCGGGACCTGACAGCAGTCCTCCTGCTGGACGGCCCCTCCCTGGTCCCACCTCGTCCAGACTGACCAGGGTTCGGGTTCTGACAGTGTTCCCTTTCCAAACCCGGTGTGTGGGGATGCCAGCTGTGACTTCTGTCCAGGATTCACATTTCAGCTCTTCCAACATCTCTGTAGCCAGTTTGCCCCAAGCAACTCCCAGGACGCTGTTTTCCTAACTGGTAAATAGAGAGCTATGACAAACCTAGACAGCATATTAAAAAGCAGAGACACCGCTTTGCCAGCAAAGGTCCATACAGTCAAAGCTGTGGTCTTTCCAGGTGTCATGTATGGATGTGAGAATTGGACCATAATGGAAAGCTGAGTGCTGAAGAATTGATGCTTTTGAACTGTGGTGTTGGAACAGACTCTTGAGAGTCCCTTGGACTGCAAGGCGATCCAGCCTGTCCATCCTAAAGGAGATCAGTCCTGAATATTCATTGGAAGGACTGATGCTGAAGCTGAAACTCCAGTACTTTGGACACATACTGTGAAGAGCTGACTCACTGGGAAAGACCCTGATGCTGGGGAAGTCTAAGGGCAAAAGGAGAAGAGGGCAGCAGAGGATGAGGTGGTTGGATGGCATCACTGACTCAGTGGGCATGAGTGTGAGCAAACTCTGGGAGATGGTGAAGGACAGGGAAGCCTTCCGTGCTGCAGGCCATGGGATTGCAAAGAGTTGGACACGACTGAGTGACTGAACGACAAGTGGACAGAGCCTCCGAGGCACCTGAGACCCAGGGACGCCACGGGGCTCCCGGGGTCTGCGCCTCACATGGGGCATTGCTTTGCTGGTAAGAAGAAACCCAGAAATGCCACTGAAATTGCCAGTTGGTGCATAGATATGGTCCAAACACCCTAGTCAGTCAGAAAGGCCCTTCTTTTAACTTAGAAAAGAAAAGAAAAAAAGACGGAAAAGATGAAGAGAGAAATGTAGGTGTCCAGTATTAAAGAAAGAGGTGAATATTCTTATTTCTTCTATTTGCCTCCTTAGACTTTTGAGGAGGTGCCTGGGCAGGGGAACTGCCTTCCCTCTGAGGGAAGCCGGAGCCCTCATATCTTCTTTGGCAGGACTGGATGTGGCAGGGGTGGGGGTGGGGGGCACCCACGGCTTCCTCCGGGCATCTTGCCATGACTCCCCGGCATGTGTCCCGGCAGGCCCCAGCTCTGGGCAGCCTGCACTGACTCTGCGATAGCCCCAGCCTGGTCCATGGCGGCCTGGAGCCCAGCACCTGCTCCGCCTCGGCCCAGACCAGCCCTCCTGAAGGGGACTGGGTGGTCAGCGGGGCCGAGCAGTCCCATGGGGAGGGAGGAGCCCCATGGGGAGGGCCCTTCCTGACCACGGCCCTCTGACTCACGCCTTATTCAGTCATTATTCAGGCCTGCCGCCTGCCCAGCTAATGGGAAGTCCCGCTCCAGCGATTCAGCATCCAAAGGCACATGATGAGAGAAATGTTTCTTTTAACTTTAGCTATAGTAAAATACACACAACATAAAGTTTACCGTTTTAACCATCTTTAAGTGGACAGTTCACTGGCATGAAGTACCTTAATGCTGTGATCAGCCAACACCACCATCCAGCTCCAGAACTTTCTCACCATCCCAAACTGAACCTCTGTCTCCCTTGAATACTCCCCAGCCCTCTCCTCCAGCCCCCAGCAACACCCATTCTGTTCTCTGTTCCTCCGTCTGTATGGATTTGACACTCTAGGGACCTCACATAAGTGGAACCCTATAGTATTTGTCCTTTATGACTGGCTTATTTCACTGAACATAATGTCTTGAAGGTTAATTCTTGTGTCGGAATCTCCTTACTGGTAAAGGGTGAATAACATCCCATCGTCCATCCACGCCGCCTTTAGTTCATCCATCCATCCACTGACGGGCGCTCGGGTTGTTTACCCGTCCATCTGCTGACGGACACTCGGGTTGCTTCTGCCTCTGAACAATGCTGCTGTGAGCTTGGGGCTACAAGAATCTGCTTGAGATGCTGCTTTCAGTTCCTTCGGGTAGGTGCCCAGGAGTGGGATGGCTGAATGCTATATTCTAAGTTTAATTTTTTGAGGAACTGCCGTACGGCTTCCCATAGCCACATCATTTTACATTCTCACCAGCAGTGCAGGAGAGTTCCCTGCCAACAGTGGCTGTTTCTATTTATTTATTTGACTTATTTGGCTGGGCCGGGCTTTTGTTGTGGCACGCAGGAACTTTAGCTCCAGCACGCAAGCTCTTGGTTTCAGCATGTGGGATCTGGTTCCCTGGCCAGGGATTGAACCCAGGCCCCCTGCACTGGGAGCTCTGAGTCTTAGCCACCAGACCACCAGGGAAGTCCCTGTTTTCTCTTTCTTTTCTTAATTAGAATCATTCATTAGAGTCATCCTAATGAAAGTGCTTTTAATTCCTTATTTTAATGTCTTAAAATGTATTCTGTAAGTGGAATAAAAATGCTAACATATGTGAGGGTGCACAATGCAACATGAGTCTTCCTATACCCGGATCCTGGCTTTCCTGTTTCCAGGGGCAACCATGGTCTCCATCCTCAAGGATGCTTCTCAGGGTGGACTCTGCTTAGATAAGCTTATGGGTGCAGACATCGTTTTAAAACAAAGAGGAGCATAGAATACACATTATTTTGTTTTACATGTTTCTTTTTTAACGCTAAGCATGACATTTTTCACTTAACACCCCATAACTCTATCTATAGGCGGTAAGATACTTAAATCTGCATGAGACACTGAAGCTGTGGCCAGAGTCCTCATCCTTCCAGCCTCATACAGAAGGCTTCCTCTGAGGAAGGATCAGACATGCCCAGCAGGTACTGGAGCAGCCGTCTCTCCTCAGGGACAAGGCCATCTCTTCAGAGAAATGGGAATAAATTACACTAAATGAGATCAAGCTTCTGAACAGCCAGGCATTGGTCACAGTCCGGTTTTGCCGTGGAATGAGTTTAGAAATCTTTCAGTTTTCAGAGCTTTTTGGGTCTCAGAATTGCAGATAATGGAGATAAGACTCCAGGGCTTTAATGCTTAGGGATAACAGAGCCCAAACTGGAGCTATTCTCATCCCATTTCTGATACAATAACCTCATGAGATAGAAATTTTACAGGTAGGGAAAGTGAGGCTCAGAGACCGCCCATCATTTGCCCGGGTGACAGCCTGAGCTAGGATGAGACCCAGGCTTTCCTGATTCCCAAGTTGGGGCTTTTCCCGTGAGGCCCTGGGGGACCACATGCTGTTTGTCGAGGGTAATGATCAGCAGCGCTTCACTTTCAAAAGAGCTGGGTTTCAGAATTTGTCTTATAGAGTCACACCAGCCACACTATGCTATGCCTTGGTGATGAGGCCTTCTCAGCAGATGACGCCCTCGCATCCCGTCGATGTCATCAGAGGGTCAGACAGTGCTCACATTCAGCCAGCCCCTCACAGCTCGTTGAGGACGAGTACCTGGGATGGGGCTGGGGTGCGGATGGTCAAGTGAGTGCTGCCTCTTCCTTGAAGACTTTCCTGATTTCTGCCACCTCGGAGGGTCTCATGGTCCAAGCTGCCCTGCTCACCTCTTAATTTTGTGGGAGAATTTGTTCTCTCTAATTTATTTTTTTTAAATTGTGGCAAAGTACACATAGCATGCTGTGTACTGTTTTAACCATTTTTTAAGTGTGTAGGTCAGTGCCCTTCAGTTCATTCATGCTGCTGTGCCACCTCTGTCCGTCTCCCGAAGTTTTCCATCGCCCCGAACGGAACCTCTGTCCCCGTTAAACGCAAACTCCATTTCCCTCGCAGCCCTGGACACTCACCATCCCACTCGCTGCCTCGATGGATGTGGCCCTCCGTGGCCCTCCTATCCGGGGAATCCTGCAGCACCTGTCCTCGTGAGACCCGCCGGTCTCACTCGGTGTGGTGTCCTCAAGGTTCCTCCGGGGAGTGGCCTGTGTCAGGACGTCCTTCCTTCCTCAGCCGGTCTCTCTGGTTGAGTTTTGTGTTGATGCTTGAAAGCAGAGGTCACTCACATGGTCTTCTGGGTCTCACACAGGGTGACCATGTACCCGACTGCTCGGTCAGAAGTCACGGGCAGGTTAGACATTGTTGGGGCCCGTAGATGCCCCGGGAGTGAAGCAAGAGGCAGGGGAGTGGACAGGCCTGGGCTTCTGTGGCCTGGTCCCTTATGGTGTTACTGTTCTCAGCCAGGGTCACCAACCTTTTTGGCACCCCGGACCGGTTTTGTGGAAGAAAATTTTTCCATTGACTGAGGAAGAGGGGCTGATTTTGGAATGATTCAAGCACATGACTCCTATTGTGCACTTCATTTTTACTACATCAGCTCCATCTCAACGTGTGAAAGTCGCTCAGTCGTGTCCGACTCTGTGACCCCATGGACTATACAGTCCACGGAATTCTCCAGGCTAGGATACTGGAGTGGGTAGCCTTTCCCTTCTCCAGGAGATCTTCCCAACCCAGGGCTTAAACCCAGGTCTCCCACATTGCAGGAGGATTCTTTACCAGCTGAGTCACAAGGGAAACCCACGAACACTGGAGTGGGTAGCCTCTCCCTTCTCCAGCAGATCTTCCTGACCCAGGAGTCAACTGGGGTCTCCTGCATTGCAGGCGGATTCTTTACCAGCTGAGCTATCAAGGAAGCTCCATCTCAGATCATCAGGTATCAGATCCCAGAGGCTGGGGACCTAAGCCACACAAACACTTTAGGTTTTGGTGTTGATGAAAGATTGACTCATCATTATGATGAATAATTAATAATTTAGTTAAAAAGCAGATGTTATGCACTGCATCTCATTGGTTCAGCAGCTGTGTCACCCTTCAATCAGAGGTGTGTGTGAGTGTGTGTGTGCATGTGTGTGTGTGTGGGTGTGAGGAGGGTGGGGACCACTTTGAGTGACAGACTAGCCTGGGGATTGCCCTCTTCCCCGGTTTCCTGCTCAGGAAAATGACAGGCTGACTGAACTCCAGGTTTGCAACCCGAACTGGGCATCTAAATGGAAAGAAGAAAAGAACCTGAGCTTCTCACTCCCTCTTTGCAGGCGAAGACGTGTTCTTGTCAAAGAACGATGCAGAGATGGGGGAAGGCTCCCTTGGGTCTGGGAGACGTCTGCTGCCTTAGGGCCGGGAGAGTCCTCATATCTCGAGCAACGCCGACCAGGCCTCCGTGGGGCTGGCCCTGCCCACCGAGCTCACAGCCTGTGTCAAAGGTAGGGTGTTCGTCACCCCGCTTTAGTGCTGTGGAGGTCAGGGCACAGAGAGGCTGCCTCGGTGCATGTGGCCACACAGCAGATTCAAGCAGAGACGGGCTGGCCTCGTGGGCGGGGTTTGCTCAGGATGGAGTCGGGGGCTGAGATGCGGCTGGAGGCCTGGGGGCATCGCAGGGGGTTTGGCTTGCCCTGAATCTGTCAGCGGCCCCGAAGCTCCTGCTCTGGGGAGCCCAGGACGGACTCACCTCTGCATCTTCAGACAGCTGCTGGGTTCTGTCCCCCTCCCACGCGGCCTGCTTTCCTCCCCGACCCCGCTGGGATCGCCCAGCCGGAGGCACCCGTCCTCCACCTGCAGAAGCCCTGTCTGTCGGCCTCGGCCTTGTGAGGAGGCGCTGGCGTTCGATCTGTGGTCGGCCTGGGGTCCTAGCTGCGCCTGGTAGTTCCGAACCCGGCCCCCTCCCCGCCCAACCCCGGACCACACGGGGCTGGCTCCGGTCCTGACAGCCTCCTACATGGCTGCAGCTGCCCAGAGGCCTTCAGCTTCAGTTGACAGCCAAGGACACTGCCATGGTCTGTGTGCGGGCTGGAGAAGAATTTCCAGACGTGAGACAGAATGAGAGGGAGATAAGGTTTGTGAGAGCAGGAGACTCAGAACAGCGGGCCAGCTCAAGGGAGAGCCGACGTTGAACAGGGGTCCTTGGTCCACTTTTATAGCCAGGCCACAAGGAGTGGAATGGGGTCTTGCGGGTCATTTGCTGATTGAATGAGGCACGCATGCTGGGTGGGGCAAGAGTAGGGCAAATACCTTCTCCATGTGGGGTACGAGGGGAGACGGCTCATACTGCTCAGGAGGACCTGAAATCCATCACTAGTTACAAGGGGGAGGGAAGCATGACAAGGGTCTGACTTTTTCCATTCCTGCATTCCAAGACTCTCCTGGGTTTTTCTTCTGTTCTTTCGCCCTTGGGACACCACAGACACTGCCCGTCCCAGAAGCTTCCCCTGCGTGAATGGGAAGTGCCTCGAGGGGACTGGGGAGGGGAAGGTGTGGCCACCACCCACGGTCTCCATCCAGGCTCAGTTCTCTGCTTGCTGCCTGAGCTCCGCGAGCCCCTGACGAACACTGGGAAACAGGAAGGGACCGGACAAGCCCACCAAGCAGAGCCCCGGACCAGCACACGACTGATGCAAGACCACGACCTGAAACGTGCCTGGGGTCCCTGGACTCGGGCTAAACTAGAGCTCCAGGGGACACGCTCTTGACTGCCAGCAGTCACCCCAAACCAGCCAGAGGTGGCGGTGTGTGCTATAACGTCCGTGTGTGTGTGTGTGTGTGTGTGTGCGCACACGTGTGTGTGCCCGCGTGCTGGGGGCAGTGCTGTGTAGTCAGCCTTTCCGAAGGCGTCTGGAAGCAGACTTCCCGGGAGACTGCAGGCCAGATGGCCAGTGCAGGAGGCCGCTGGCGGGCAGGCCCAGAGCCCAGGCACTCACAGGCAGCCTGAGCTGCTCGGGGGGCGGCGTGAGGAAGAGGAGGGGAGGCCAGGCTGCAGGGGCCGGCGGGAGAGGGGGGCTGCCCTGAGGGGGCACAGGGCCGGCGGGGGGAATGGGTTCGCGGTCAGTCCCGAGCCGTCTCCGCGAGGCTGGGGCTTGGGCAGGGCCTCTCTGCTGAGAAGCCAGGTCCCTGCTGACCTCTGGACGGCACTGAGCGGGAGCGGGTCCGGGTCCGAGACGAGCAGAGTGAGGTTTCACTCCTCCTGCTGGTGGATTGAAAAGTCTCAGGGCTCATTCGCATCTGAGGCGCATGCAATCCTGCAATCCCCCCGGGGGCTGCCTCGGATCGGACTGGTCCCCTGTCTGCGGGTGCCCCACCGCAGGCCTGGCTCTGGCCAGGCTCAGGGCTGAGGCCCAGTGCGGAGCGGTGACCTGAAACCTGTGGGTCCGCAATGCCCCTCGCACAATGCCGCCCGTGCGTGTTTTCAGTACAGACTTAGCAGCTGTCATGTCAGCGTGTGACCTTTGAAACTGTTGAACAGGAGCCGCGTGTGGTCTGTGGGCTGGGGAGGAGCACCCCCCATCCCTGCCGACCCCCGACAGGAGGGGTTGGAGAGGAGCTCATTTGGGTCCATCACTTGGCATCTTGTCTTGCTGTTTCCTATCCTGGTTATTTTTCCTGCCATTGTCTTGTGTTCACCTGCTGAGATGCTGGTGTTGGTCCACGTCTGAAGACCCAACATCCTCACCCCGTTTCTCCTCCTCTCACTCACTCACCCCAGGGAGCTGCCCCACCACTCACAGGCACCCCCGCATCTTCTGATTCGCAGTGGGGCTCACTGAGCTTCATCCACCTGCCGAGGATTCAGGTGGAAGGGAAAGCACAGGCGCTGTGGAGGGGAACCTGGCAGAGGAGGCTGAGGGGTGTGGCAGGGCCCCAAAGGGGGCCATCCCTGCAGAGGACAGGTCAGGGTGCCTGGCAGTCTAATCCTGGCGGGAGGGACCCCCAAGTTCAGCCCCCAGACCCTCCTAAGATACCCTATCTCCCTCGACCCAGTTTTGGCTGCTCCCCCCTGCACCATCAGACAGCTTCTCTCTTGTTTCTTGGAATATTTCACACTGGGGTTGGATGGACGCAGAGATTCTCCAGTGGCATCCTTGACTAAGGCTTGTGGGCACCGATGGTTTCAGCTCCCCGTGGCCCAGCGCCCAGCGGGAGGCCTGCCTGCCCTCCGGCCAGAGCCAACCCGCTCTGCTGGCTCCTGTCCCTCCACATCCATCAGGATGTCCACCGCTCCGCAGGTCTGGAGAGTGGACTCCAGCCCGCGGGCCGGATCTGGACCATCGATCTTGCAAATGAAGGTTTAGGGGAGAGCAGCCACACGTCGTCACATGCACGCTCTTTTTCTTCCTACAGTGGCCCCGCGTTTCCCATCTGGCCCTTCCCAGGGCTCACTGGCCCCTGCGCTCCTTCACCACCAGCCCCTTCCAGTGGGACGAGTGAGCCGTGTTCCCACTGCTGCCCCCTCCCTTGCTTGCCTCCCCTCCCGTCCATTGTCCACACTCCCCTTTCTACCCTTGGTTTAGCCAGATGCCCGAGGGGTCGTGCACGCCGGTCCGCCTAAACTAGAGACTGGATGATGCCGCTTCGCCGCGGCTCCTGGTGCTCGCTGTGTGGGTTCTCAGCCCCGTCTCCAGGTTTGTGCTCCTGCTGTTCTCCTCCGAGGGTGCCACATCCAAGGATGCACAACTGCCAAGTGTACCCGTTCCCAGCACGCCGGGTCCCGTCCACCGGAGCCGTTCCTGCGCTGTTTCCTCTTCCTGGAAACCCCTTCCTCTCTGCTGCCTACCTGGCCCTTGCTGACTCATCCTACTGTTCTCAGAAAAGCCTCTTGATCTCCCAGCACTGGGTTAGGACCCCTTCCCAAGTCCTTCTAGGTTCAGTTCAGTTAAGTAGCTCAGTCCTGTCTGACTCTTTGCGACCCCATGGACTGCAGCACACCAGGCCTCCCTGTCCATCACCAACTCCCGGAGCTTACCCAAACTCATGTCCTTTGAGTCGGTGATGCCATCCAACCATCTCATCCTCTGTCATCCCCTTCTTCTCCTGCCTTCAATCTTTCCCAGTATCAGGGTCTTTTCCAATGAGTCGGCTCTTTGCATCAGGTAGCCAAAATATTGGAGTTTCAGCTTCAGCATCAGTCCCTTCCAGTGAATATTCAGGA